CTCAGATAGTAACCCAGCATAGAACTGGGAAAATGAACAACAGACCCCAATCTTATCTAAATGAATATTGACAAGTGATTGCTGCTAGATGAGGAACAGCTGACCCTCCTAAAATAAAGATCTCTAGAAAGGCTGACTAGACTCACCAGAAGGGCAAGTAGTGGGGAATGGCTGGGGGTTCCAACCACACAGCAGACAGTAGCAGGGATATCAGAGTATAAGGGCTCTAGTCGGGGGAGGGAGGCTACGGGAGGGTGCCATCTGGGAAGTGGGTGTATAGTTGAATAAGATGGTTTGGGATGTTCTGTGTGATACACACACACACACACAATCAAATTTTTAAAAATGTATTATTTGAGGAGGAAGAATGGAAATTACGTCATGCTAATTAGTAGAGGTGATAAACATTACCATTGAAATCTACCTGATGACTTTATAGACATACACAGGGGCCAAGGATCCAAGTGCAACAGATTATGACTAGTAATAATCAGACACATATGGATTAGAGATGCATACGCCAACATCTCAGTGTTAGTAGCAAAAACAATTAGATCTTTTTTAAAGTTTAAAAATTCATTCAAGTTTATGTCTTACAGGGCTGATTCAATATTGTATAACTGTATTAATTTAACTGTGAACCTAGAAACTTGCACCCACTTGTGAAAGAGATGTATTCTTGCTCTGGAACATGTTACTGAATATGTTAAAGCTGTAGTGAAATGCTTCTTCTAACCATGTAGTTATTAAAAATTTAAAAAATGATAAAAAATTAGTAATAAGAATTAGAAGATGTGAAAAACATTACCATTGAATGAGACCTGATGACTTTATATCCATGCTCAGATGCCAAGGAGCTCAGAAAGTAACTTTTTCTGAGTGAATATGCTTGAAATCCTAGATGTGCAGAGATGAAGGAAATATCCTGAAAGTGTAAGTTCCTGGAATTTATGAGGAGAGATACATGTAGAGGAAATCGAAAATACTACTATAGAATAAAACTCTGTCCCAAGTGATCAAGCTTAGATGCTCTTGATCAGAAAATAGGATTTCTGAGGCTGGAGTGATGCCCCTGCTGCTAAAAACACTGACTGTTCTTGCAGAGGCCTAGGGTTCCATTCACAGTACTCATATGGCCACTAACAACCATCTGTAGTTCCAATTCTAGGGGAATTTGACACCTTTTTCTGGCCTCCATGGACACTGCACACATGTGGTGCACTTACATCCATGCATACAAAACATGCATTCTCCTAAAATATAAATAAATAAAGGAAGGAAGGAAGGAAGAAAGAAAGAAAGAAAGAAAGAAAGAAAGAAAAAAAATATTGAGTGGCTGGAGAGATGGCTCAGTGGTTAAATGCACTGACTGCTCTTTCAGAGGACCTGGGTTCAGTTCCCAACAATATGGTAGCTAACAACAATCATCAGTAACTCTAGTTCCAGAGATTCAACACCCTCTTTTGACCTCTGCAGGCACCGCACATATGGGTCCACTTATACGTATAGGCAAAACACTCATACACATGAAATAAAAACAAATGAAACAGACAGTAGATTTACTTTAACTTGATATACAAATAAACCATTTTACAAAATGTGTTTTACAGATGCTAAGGCCAGCCTGACCTACACAGAGATAATCTATGGGTGACATCCCCCTTCTGCCACCTAGTAGCTGTAATCACTCAGGAAGCCACTTCTTCAGTCCTGTCATTTAGAAAAAAATAGGAATGTAAAATCATTTTTTTTTCTTTTTTAATTATTTGGCTGTGTGTGTTCACATGTGTACATAAACATGTACATGTGTGTACATGCATATGGATGTTCAAGGTTCATGTCTAGAATCTTTCTCATTCCCTCTTCTACCTTATTCTTCGAGGCAGGGTTTCTCTCATCTTAGAGTTCACAGATACAATATGACTAGTCTCTCCACCCAGCCTGCTTAGGGATCATCCCTGTGTCTCTGCCTTCAGAGGCTGGAATTAGACGTAAGCTGCCATACCAACCTGGCATTTACACGGATTCCAAATTTCAGTGTTCTTTTTTATGAGGCAAGCACTTTATTGTGCCAGCCATCTTCCCAGTCCAATGTAACTCTATTTTTTTTTTTTTTTTGAGGCAAGGTCTTACTATGAGGTCCTGGCTAGCCTTGAACTCATGATATTCCTACCTCCATCTTCAGAGTGTTGGATTGCAGGCATGTAACACCACGCCAGGCAGAATTTAGTAATACCAACATTATGGTTATAAATACAACACCAATATTAGCTTTAAAATGGGCTGATAAAACATAGAAAATTTCATCTTTTCTCTAGCAGCAAAACCTTGGTAAGATCAGGAATACTGTTAGTCCTTTTCATGTTAAAGCCTGAGATTTTGCATACACACATACACATACACCAATATTTTAATACAGGGCTTTTTGTAGTCCCAGCTGGCCTGGAACTCACTGTGCAGACCACGCTGGCCTTGTTCTCACAGAGATCTGCCTGCCTCTGCCTCCCAAATGCTGGGATTAAAGATGTGGGCCACCATACCCAGCATGCACACAGACATTTGGAAAGGAACAATCAGGAGGTCTAATTTTATAGCATTAGCAAATCCTAACCATGGAGGTAAAATGACGTACCCTCATCCTTCATGTTTCGGTCTATCTGTGGACCAGCATTTCTCTCTCGGAACTGAATGCTCTGCATGTGTCTTTGCATAGCTTCCTGTATTATGTCAAACAAAGGCTGATCCTGTTGGAGACATCACAATGTTACCTCTGTTAGAAATTGATTACATTTTTACCTTCCCCTAATCAAGTACTGTGAGAAAATACATGTTCCTTTTCAGGAAGAAGCAGGGATTGGGCTGGGGCTGGGAAAAGCAGCAGCTCCCATACACCAAATAAGAGTGTCTGGTAAATGAGTGTTTAGGAACTATAGAAGTGGTCTCTAAAAGTAAAGTCTACAAGTGAGTGTTTAATGTTAATAGTTTTAATTATTCAGGTCTGTGGCACGAGACAATCTGTAACTTTGCTAGTATCTGAACATGAATCCAGTTAACTTGTATAGTTTCAAGCAGAGTGATAAATGATCACACACCCAGCTTGCCTTCGAGCACCCACACTGTAAGCTGGCATTGCTGTTCTTACTCAACTGCATACATAGGTCAGAGGGGTCAATTACGGCAAGCTGCTATTCTCATATCTGGAGAGCTATCATGACTTAGAAAACTAGTTACAGTGAATATAAGAGCCTATAAATACTTTTCTTTATCCATGTAAATATTAAGTATCATACTCAGGGTGATAGAGGGAGATACGTAACTATATTTTTGAAAATAAGATAAAGAACACTAGAAGCAAAACATTTAGAATTTTCATATGTCTTAAGCATATTTCATTTAAAAACCTTTGAATAAAACTAAAACTCTACCATATAGGAATTCTGCTAGTAATTATAAAAATTGTACAGTACTTTTAAAATGCAGGTCAGAAGAAACTTTTTGACAACTTGTGGGAAAATAATCCAGGTTATGTATGAAATAAAGACGTATTTGATAACAGGTACCCAGTCACGTAATATAAATGTGCCAGCTGACAACAGGAGATGCATGAAAAAGTTTGGGGTAAATGCTTTTTGAGTGCTTCACAATATACATATCACAGGGAAACATACATAGTCTATCCTAAAGTAGCCTACATACCTCCCAACAAGGTCACATACAAAAGAAATTATAAAAGCAGGTTAGAAGCAGCAAAACTTAGTTATTACTTTATATTCCTGACTGAAGGAAAAACCGCTGAAAGATGTTTATCTATTCACTATTGTCCACGAGATTAACCATGAACATGCTAGACTGGTTTCAAGGTCCTCTACAATTTGGTTCACCCATCCCTCAGTCTCTCACTACACTTGCTTGTGTCCTACAAAAAGCCACAATAGACTGGGCAGTGTCCTTCTTATCTTCTTGTGCTGAGGACTAAACCCAGGGCTTTGGGCACACTGAGGCAGATGCCACATTCTAGTCATCTTTTGTCTTTAATGTGTCTCTGTAATTTCCCACCTCTCTGAATTCTATTCACCTTTTAAGACTCAGTTTAAGTGAAATTCTAGCTATTTTCTAAAATCCTGCCTGACACCTACCTGCTACTTATGAGACTACATAGCAAGCACTTCTAGGTCTTTTTGCAAGAGTTAATGTTAGGTACATATGATCTCCTCTACCACATTGTGTGCTGTTTTGACAAGATGCAAGTGTTATCCCTGCAATGCCTCAGAGTACCAACATATGCTGAAAAAAGACTGACACTTCAATTCTTACAACTTGAATTCTTAATTTTTTTGTTTTAGAAAATAAAAGGCATATTCCAGGAAAAATTATTTCAAGAAATGATCTTTACCAGTGTGCCAGCAGGCAAAGGAGCCGAATCATCTGTTGGATACATTCTGGAAACTGGGCACTTGAGGATGTCTAGACCGTTTGGAACCATCTTACAGTAATCCTGAATACACTGCAGCCACCACCACACAGCATCCCGGCAATTGTATCTGGCATACGTTCCTTCACCAAGGAGATTAGGAATGAGACCATGCCTCAGGGTACTAGCGAATGCTAAAATAATATTCCTAAAACAACAGAAGTAAGTAGATCATTTGAAATGAAAACAAATACTTAAAAAATTGAAGATAAACCATGTCTTGGAGATGCCCAGCCTCCAGCCCAGATTTTCTCTCTAATGAGCTGGGGGTAGTGGGAGCTCCCCACTCAGCTACAGGTTTTGCATCTTTGGAGTCAGGTGCTGAGCTGAATATTTTTAAGGTCTACCATAGCCCTAGATTCTACTTTTGAAATTGGAATTAATGCTATTTCAAAATAGAAGTAATTACTGAATATACATTTTATTACTTTAAATAGTAGATTTCAAGAATAAAGTAAATGTATACCCCCACCCCCACCCCCAAAAACAATCAAAAAACCAAAAAGCAACTGGGCAGAAGCTGGTCTTAAAAACTATAACTTGTTAGGCATGGTGGTGCTTGCCTTTAAATCCCAGCACTTGGGAGGCAGAGGCACGTGGATCTCTGTGAGTTCAGGGTCAGTCTGGTCTACATAGCGAGTTCTAGGCCAGCTATGGCTATAGGGAGACCCTGTCTCAAAAAAGACAAAAGAAAAAAAAAGGAAAAGAAAAAAATTGGTTTTAGGCTGCTGGTAATTACTTAGAGATCTTATATAAACAGTTTCTGACTTCTAACCCTACCCTTTCTATTCCTAGGTCTATATTAATGAATTTTGATTGTCTTAGCTGCAGAATTTTCTTTTAATCACCAATAACTTCACTTACATTACTGTGATATAAGAAATCACTGTGTTAAGCCTGGAAAGCATCAAACTGGAGCTTGCAAAGCCTAACAACAAATGGAGGAAGGCTTGATATAATTTATTTTCAGAGACTCAGAGTCAGCAATGCTCTTTATGAAGACATAAAATGGTTATAAAGTTTTTAGATAAATTTACAAATACTGAAGATAATCCTGTCATGGAACTTAGTAACGTCAAAGGTCTTTTTTCTCCTTTGAAATTCTATGATCCTATTAAATGAACATAAGAAAAATGAAACTTAAAAACCTGAAGCCTTGCTGGGCATGGTAGTGGATGCCTTTAATCCCAGCATTCCGGACACAGAGGCAGGTGGATCTCCGTAAGACTGAGGCCAGCCTGGTCTACACAGTGGGTTCCAGGTCAGTTGGGGCTGCAGGGAGACTGTCTCAAAAAGACAATAACAACAACAACAACAACAACAACAACAACAAACAGACCCCAAAAACCTGAAGCTTGTGAGACAGCATCCAAGTTCCATCTCCAGAACCCACATGGAAAAAAAGAACCAACTACTGCAAGTTGTCCCCTGACCTCCACATGTATACCATGACACCCATGCTTGCATACACACACACACACACACATTTCTAAGGAAACTATACTCGTCAAATGTTGAGAACAGATGGGTAAGAGCGAAGGCTTGACTGAAATGTGTAGCAAACACTGAAACCTAAACTCGCCTGGCAGCATTTCAGAGGCTCTCTTACCTGGCTTCTAAGTAGCGTCCAGTAACCAGCAGCATCCCTCTAAGTGCAATAAAAGTATCCCTTCCCCAGCAGCGGAAAAGACCAGAAGAAAAGTGTGGTAAGCCTAACAAAAAAAGATCACAAAGTAATATGTTAATTATAATAACACATTATAGCTCATGAATCCCATCATTACATACACTCACTCTAAGTCGAGGGTAAAAAGGCAAGTTACAAGGAGTCTGTAAACCTCTAAAATGCTCTTCAAAATTTATGTCTGTACTATGTCAGCTTTTGAGGACTGGGGTTCTATGGTCATATTAGATTCTAAAAGGCATCTGTGACCCAAAGGAGATTAACACCAGCACTGGGCAAGTGAAGAAGACAGGATTAATAACCACAATAAAAAGCATGCAAAAGGGCTTTGTGCATGGTTAGAATTAAGTAGTAAGTCTTGTTATTATTTTTATGATTGAGAAGCCATGAAATTTTACTAAGCAGTGACATAAAAGTCTTGGATAATGTCATGAATTTAAAAATCATTTTCTTGGGGCTGGAGAGATGGCTCAGCAGTTAAGAACACTGGTTGTTCTTGCAGCAGACCTGGGTTCGAATCCCAGCACCCACATGACAGCTAACAACTGTCTATAACTCCAGTTCCAGGGGATCCGACAGCCTCTTCTGTCCTTGTGTGCATTGCATGGCACCAGTGTACTTACCTATACGCAGGCAATATACTCATACACATAAAATAAAAATAATAAATAAAATATTTTAAAAAATCATTTTCCTATAGGTTTTCCTTTTTGAATACTATCAGCTTACATCTTTTAACCTCCCACCCAGTTCCTTACCTGCAGCTATGGATGCACAGCACTGCTCTTTCTCCTTTGTAATCTCATTTAGCCTGTATGGCACATTCAGAAGTACAGGGGAGAGGAGAGGCAGACAAGGGCATCTTCCTATTCCACACATCTGGACAGAACCCAGAGAGAGGTGCTTCACAAAGGTTGAACCATTCCGAACAAAGCTGTACAAGATAGTAAGTTGAAGATTATTTGCAAAAACATTAACCCTTTTAGCAATCTTATTACATTGTTTTTGCTAAGTAATTTTTCTACAGAAAGGTGTAAAAATGGTAATATAGTTTTATGTATGCTATTTAACAACTATGAATAAACAGAAACAACATAAAGCTGGGTGTGGTGGCATACACCTTTAATCCCAGCACTTAGGAGGCAGAGGCAGGCTGATCTCTGTGAGTTCAAGGCCAGCCTGGTCTCCACAGTGAGTTCCAGGCCAGCTGGGGCTACAGGGAGACCCTGTCTCAAAGGAAAAAAAAAAATACACACACACACATTTAAAAAAAAAAAGAAACAATATAAAATAATTTAATTTTCCCAAATTATGTTTTATAGGCTTTATAGACCAGATAAAAAAGCTTTTAAATATATATACACATATTTTGGGAAGGATTCTTTTTGAGGCAGGGTCTCCCTCTAGCCCCAGCTGGTCTAGAACTCACTATGGAGACCAGGCTGGCCTTGAACTCACAGAGATTCACCTGCCTCTGCATCCCAAGTGCTGAGATCAAATGTGTGCACCAAGCCTGACTTAAAAATATTGTGCACATGTGTGCATGTATACAGGTGTGTGCCATGGTATATGTGCGGAGGTCACAGGATAACTCTTGAGTTCGTTCTCCCTTACCACTGGGGATACCAGGGATCAAACTCAGGTCATCAGTCTCTCATGGCAAGTGCTTTTATCCACTGATCCATTTCACCTGCCCTAGAACAGATTTTTCAAATCTAAGCTTGGGGGCTGTAGCTCAGTTGGTAAGTGCTCGCTTAGCATGCATGAAGCCCTGAGTCTGATTGTCAGCACCACATAAATCAGACATGGTGGTGCAGGCCTGTGATCCCAGCATTTGGGAGGTAGAGGCAGGAGGATCAGAAGTGTAAGGTCATCCTTGGCTAGATGGTGAGCTTGCACCAGCCTTCAATACAAAAACAAAAACAGACAACCCTCCCAAAACTCCACCCAAACTCTATAAACTGTGTTTTATATGTTTAAATCATACTGATAAATTTAGTATCCACTTAAAAACTTTTCAGCTCCGAGAGTATGATAGTTCTCAGGTTTTGGTCTTTTAAGAGCATGTAAAAATGACTCTATATAGTTTCTGCACAATCATGCCCGCTCACTCTAGCTATGTGGGATATACCTTGACATCTGCTTCCATGCTACATCCAGCAGAGTGGTATAGGCACCAATTAATATAGCATCAAAGTAGCAGGGGATCAGGTACCGTGGGATCTGCTTCAGGTAGAAGAACATAGCCTGCAACCATTTACCAACCTGTCACAGAAATAATATAAAAAGTTAATTTGCTACGTTTTCAAGCTAGGCATATTTTAAGAGTTAAATCCAAACATGCAACTTTACTGGTCAGCTGATCCATTAACTAGATTACCACTTGTTAGAACTGAAAGGTGGTGAAGAAAGGAAAACGGCTCAAGGAAACATGTAAATATTATACATAACATGGTACTGTAATTCTTAATGTTCCCTTGATTGTTTTGGACTGGAATCTGACTCTACTTACTTCAGCAATATTTCCTGATCGTGAAATAAGCCGGCCACTGACATAGTCAATCATCCAATCTCCGGACCTCAGATTTTCACAGAAAGGATGCCCCAAATCATTCTTTGGCCTTATTTCTGCCAATACGGACATTAATCCTGAAAATTCAGACATTTCATTATTGACAGAGTCAAAATGCTTAGCTTGTCTGATGGTTTGGAGTGAACACACATGTGGGCAGACATCAGGGCTCAGTCCACAAAGGATGCTGAAGGACTCTACTGCTGCAAGAGCCATATAGACCTGCCCAAGACTCTGAACTTCTGGGATTGCTCTTATTATTTTTTTAATTTTAATATTATAATATTCAAAGGTAACTGGCATGGTTTCTCTGCCCTAAGGCATCAAATTGATAAGTCTGGGTTTTTTTTTTTTTTTTTTTTTTGTTTTTTTTTGGTCTTTTTGAGACAGGGTCTCCCTGTAGCCCCAGTTGGCCTGGAACATTCTATGTAGACCAGGCTGGCCTTGATCTGAGAGATCTGCCTGACTCTGCCTCCTGAGTTCTGAGATTACAGGTGTGTGCCACCATGCCCAATTTTCAATTAAGTTAAGAAGTGGTAGGTTAATATTCAGGCAAGACTTAAGAAAATCACATAACTGATTTCAGAGAAAGCAAGACCACTAATGGGGAATAATAATGAAGCCTACTTCAGAAGGAATATTTAAAATATGATAGGAGACACTTAGAAACTAACAAAGTATCAAATTGAGCTACTGATGATATAATATTATTAGGCATAATTCTCAGTTAAAATTATTAGCATTCCTATATATATATATAGCATTTCAAAGAGAACAATTTCAATACTCAGTGAGAGTATTTTCCACCTTAAAATAGCATTTGGCTTCATTTTAACTAAATTTATTTAGTTGGAATTTATTCAATGTGGCATGTTCTGAGAAATTAAAAGCAATGAATTTAATATGTAGGTTTTTTTCCCTCAATGAGCTTATAATTTTCTTTGGTGAATATACCTTAAACACCTTATACACAAAAAAGATGGAAAACAAAACATCATAAACCAATGCCCTCATATGTCCTACCTACGTGCCAGAACCTCAGGGAAGAAGATTGCTGCTCAGCATTTGTTGGTCCCACTGATGAATATGGAATGACTTAATGAGAACAGAGCTGGCAGTGACTAGTGGGATGAAATGACTTGTGCAGGAGGCAGTAAGAGGGTACAAAGCTGGCTGGCTGGTTTAGAGAAAGCACGCAGTTGTACAACAGGGTGGGAAGTATGGAAATAAAACGAATGTGGTATGCCAAAGAGAATATGGGAAAGCATCTATAAATCACAACTACTGGCTACTGATAAAAAGAATGGAATCCTAGATTTCAGCATAACAGAATGTAGACTATAAGTAGAGAACAGAATATTGAATTCAAGATGAGAAACATCAATGCAGTGATTAAATTTTATCTAATTTGAGGCTGTTGTTAACAGTTTGCTAGAAAAATGCTGTGGGCTGCTCAAACTAATGAACTATGTGAGGGGGGAAAATGGTTAGTATAAAGTAAAAAATAAATCAGTAAGGGCAATTATATTTAAAAAGAATAAGCAGAATTTCTTCATGAGCGCTCTAAAAAGAATGAGAATGAAGAACCAGACAAAGGACAGAAAAGCTTAAAACTGGCAACACATTTCTTTATTGCTCACAGCACAAAATATTTTGTGTGGAAAATAAGAATGGTTTAGGGAAAAAAAGGTGTTTTAAGTCTCAGAAATGTTTAGCAGAGTGTTGTTATATACTTGGTTTTCAAAGCTGCAGACAAGAACTACAAAAAGACAAAAATCTATATTCTTATTTCTCAAGGCACAATTTACTTAATGGAATTTTACAGCTGATGATTTCTGAGCGTTGACTTTGAACCAGGTCTGCTTTGTAAGTACTAGCTGCTTTAGCCCTAACCACAATCCTTTGTGGTAGACATGATTGTGTCTGCTTTACTGATGGTGATGGATACACTGGAACTGGACTTATGGACAGTTGTTAGCTGCCATGTGGGTGCTGGGAACCAAACCCAGGTCCTCTAAAAGAACAGCAAGTGCTGGGTGTGGTGGCGCATGCCTGTAGTCCCAGCACTCAGGAGGCAGAGGCAGGAGGATCTCTGTGAGTTCAAGGCCAGCCTGGTCTACATACTGAGTTCAGGGCCAGTTGGGGCTATTTAAAAAAAAAACAACACAAAAAAACCAGCAAGTATTTTAACCACTGAGTCATTTCTCTAGCCCACCTTACACACAGTGTTCTAAGTAACATTATTTACAGTTTTTCTTTTTTCCTTTCTTTCTTGACATAGGGTCTCCCTTGTAGCCCAGGTAGCCTCAAATTTGTAATCCTCCTGCCTCAGCCTCCTAAGTAGGTGGGATTATAGGTATGTCCCAGCATGCCTGGCTATTTTTTATATTTTAATGAGGCAGAAATGAGGTTTAGAAATGAGGTTTAGAGGTCAATGAACAGCCAGCAGTCACAATTTGAACTCAGGTGTCACAGTCTGGTTCTATATTCATTTCTATAAAGATGATCACTAAAGTCCAAAGCTCTAGCCTTACCTTGAAGACCTGCATACTTAAGGGATGACCAGTTTGGTATGTCATAGCAACCTCCACCATCTTCTTGTTCTTCTGATTCACATCGGTAAAGTATCTGATTTAGTTCAGCCAAAGTTAATTTAGCGGCAATGCTAAGAATGACAAAATGAAGGCCACTAGTTAAATATACTGATATTTACTTGCTGTAAATTAAAACAAAAAAATCTGCATTATAATCACTAAATATTTTGGAAATATATTGTTCTAGTTATTTTTCTGTTGCTATGATAAAACACTCTGGTCAAAAGCAACTTGGGGAGGAATGAGTTTATTTTTAGAATTCCAGGTCACACAGTCCATGATTGAGGTAAGTCAGGGCAGGAACTGAGGCAGGAGCTTGAAGCAGAAACCACAGAGGAACACTGCTGGCTTGCTCTGTGGCTTGCTCATGGGCTCATGCTCAGTTAGCTTTCTTTCTTTTAAAAATATTCGTGGTGGCGCACACCTTTAGTCCCAGGACTCGGGAGGCAGAGGCAGGCGGATCTCTGTGAGTTCAAGGCCAATCTGATCTACACAGCGAGTTCCAGGACAGCTGGGGCTACAGGGAGACCCTGTCTCAAAAAAAAGACCAAAAAAAAAATTTTATTTATTATTTTTATGTTTATGAATGTATTCCTTTCATGTGTACCTGGTAAGTGCACCTGTGTCATGCAATGTCCACGGAAGTCATTGGAAGTTGGCATTGGATCCCCTGCAACTGGAGTTACAGATGGTTGGTTGTTAGCTGCCATGTGGGTGCTGGGAATCAAATCTGGGTACTCTGCAAGAGTTGTCGGTGCTCCTAATCACTGAGCCATCTCTCCAGCCCCTCAGCTAGTTTTCTTATATAGCCCAGACCCACTTGCACACCTTTAATCCAGTACTGGGGAGGCAGAGGCAGGTGGATCTTGGATCTCTGATCTCTGTGAGTTTAAGGCCAGCCTGGTCTACATAGTGAGTTCCAGGCCAGCTAGGGCTATAGAGAGACCCTGTCTCAAAAAGACCAAAAACAAAACAAAAAACAAAAAAACAAACCCCCAAACAACATAGTTTTATGGCATTTAGATCCCCTCCCCAGCCGTATCTCCCCCCCAACTGCCCTCCACCCAATTTAATGTACTCATATATATATAATATACATTATATATATAATATGGCCTATAGAATCTGATTTGTGTCCCCAGATATCCTTCAGTATGGGCCTACCATACCTGTTTTTTGAGACATGGTCTCCCTGTAGTCCCAGCTGGCCTGGAACTCGCTATGTATACCAGGCTGGCCTTAATTTCACAGAAATCTGCCTCTGTCTCCTGAGTGCTGAGATTAAATGCATGCACCATCACACCCAGCTTAAATTTTTTTTAATGCATTTATTTATTTGTGTGTGGGTGTGCACATGCCATGTATGCTGTATGCATGTGGAAGTCAGAGGTTAACTTTTGGGAGTCAGTTCTCTCTTTCTACCATATGGGTCCTGGGGATCAAACTTAGGCGATAAGGGTTGGCAGCAAGTTTCTTTACTAGCTGAGCCACCTCATCGACCTGATATTGTTAGACTTAAACTCAAAATTTCTATCAAGGGCCAGGAAAGGGATAATCAAAGTTAGCTCATCAAAGTTAACCACTTAAGAAATCATGTAGACTCTGCCTCTGTTTTTCCTTCTGGTACTTTCTCAAGGCTGTACTGACCCTCAGTTTGGTTATTTATGAAAGTAGAATTTTTTTGGAAACAAATACATCCTGACATTGGACGGAGGAAAACTTAATAATCATAGCTTTGATTTTTTTTTTTTTTTGTACAAATGTGACTGTGGACTGGCCACAAGTGAACACAATCGACACTGTACTTTCTTGGTCTTCTAGTTGCTCAGTTTCAGTTTATACAACCACTATTTCCTGCAAACACTTATATTCTTGAAGGTATTTCCTTCTTTCACTTTTCATTCTGTCTCAACTTAGAAAACTGCTGTTTTCTGCCATGCTTTGCTTTCTGCCTCGGCTGCCCTTCTACAGCTGTATAATATATAAGGATATAGCTATATAATGGAAGGATATGTTGACATTTACAAAATGATGTGGTAAGGGGTATAATGCGTGCAATAAGTCTCATATAGTTCAGAAAAACTGTGCATATGCAGGCGTGTATAGACCAATAATCTACAGAGAAAGAGCACACAAGCATGAGGGCACACATATGAACATACATACAATAAAGGACAGGGTGAAATGTTAGCAGTGGCCTGTGCTGACACCAGTTGCCCTTGGACTATACTTTGAGAATCAAATATACAGAGCACTCAAAGCTATTGAATCAGGCCAGTGGTAACTCACTAGCTTATTAAAGTGGTAAATATACAAAACAAGGCATACTTACGAAGCAAAGGGGATTTTCAATATAGGATCTGAGTTGTCAACAGCAAGGCTCCCAGATTTAAAGTGAGGACTGAACTGTGTCAGGTGATTTCGAAGAATACCAACAGCCACTTGTGCATGTGGATCAAGACTAACTCTGAATATGGTTGATAAAAAACAGTTAATTTTCAGGTTAGTCAAGGTTAACAGGATATACAAACTACTTTTAACACAGATAAACTCAACAGTTTGAAGTCTAATTAACATACCTGAATATGATAACACTTCCTGGAGATAAATTTTCAAACTCTATTTCCTGAATATATTCATTGGGACCTTTTGTGGCAACTCCAGCCTGTTTGACAATTTTACTTTCATGAAGCTTGAGAAAAAAAATATAGAAAGCCATTCATTAAATAATTTTTATGTTCTTAAAATATTAAACACAGTAGAAACATGAGTGTCCCACATACCTGGATGTGCTCTCTAATGTCTACTGTGATATCTGGCATTCCATTGATGGTGTTCTCATCCTTCCTGTATGGTTTTGTGTTTCTCTCAACTGTTCTAGCCTCAAGAACTACTTCTTCAATTTTGCCTAGGAATATATAAACATTAAAAAAAAATCATTCTAGTACACATGAGCCGGGCGTGGTAGCGCATGCCTTTAATCCCAGCACTTGGGAGGCAGAGGCAGGGGGGTCTCTGAGTTCAAAGGCAGCCTGGGCTACCTAGGGAGGTCCAGGACAACTGGGGGCACAAGGGGGCCCTGGTTCCAAAA